TGTTCATCTGTAGTCAACTCACATGTGAGCAGCACGGCAGGTTTAAAATCTTCAATCAATGGATTTTCTGTATTTAGGGTTTCTTCAATATTTCCTCAGAACAACTTGAGTCAGCGAGAGTTTGGAGACTGTTGATTGAGGAACAGAGCGTGTTTGACTATGACTCTTAAGGACACTTCTATTATTTATTCTATGATCTGTGCTAAACATGAGCTATGGTCCTAATTATTGGCCAACTGACTTGTGATGAATTCCACTGATGCAGTTTCCAACAGAAGAAAAATGATTTGCTTCAGTTCTTTGTATAAGATAGAATCTCCTTATATTTTTTCCCTTTCCAAATATCAATGTAGAACAAATCACCTGTTTCGTCAGCCTGTGCTCAAATATTACGTTAAAATGTAATTTGGTCATTTTCCAATTTAAGGTTTCAGTTTCAATAAATCAGCTTTACTGTGTCACTGTTAAACTTTTATCTTTTACTTAATTCAACGATGACTGTGTTACTTTTATCTCTGTTTTTTTCCCACTGAAGATCATTTATCTAATAAACAATGTTTCTTGTTTTTTCATGTACAGTGCTGTCGCAAAGGACAAGGACAAGCAGAGCTTCAAGCTTCGTGCAGGAATGGACAAGAAAATAGTCATTTATGTCCAGCAGACTTCCAATAAGGAACTTGCCATTGAGAGGTAAAATTAAAGACATACACTCACACACGTAAAATAGGTTACTGTACAGCTCGCTGAATGTTGATGTTTGTGGTCAGTGGAGACACTACTCTCAAATTAGATTTAAAATCTTCATGAAAACTTTGTAAAGCCCTTTTGTTCAGTGCTCATTTTATTTTTTAAGTGAGAGATCCTTTTGGTATTTGGACAACACTACTTACAGGAGATTAACAACTTTCATCCAAGACAACATACTGTGCAAATATCTCTCAATGTGATTACAAAACGTGCATAATCAGAATAATGGAGGATATGAATTATATTCTCTGTCACACTTGAGTTGTCATGTCGAAGGAAAATATCCGGCCTGCATCTGTCAGACTGACCAGACGTTAACGAGAAATGAATCACTTAGCACTCGATAAACACACCAGTGACCATCTATACATCCGCGTGTCGGGTTTGAAGTGTTCCGGCGCAGTTGTAAGACAGTGAGTGAAGTGAAAATGGCTCCTCATTTTCCATGGTTTAATAAATCTGTTGAAATTCAAACATTCCACCCCACTTTTTATGGTTTGTTATTGTTTGATAAATCCAGAGATGGTGAGGAGTGAAGGGCTGTGTTTAATATTCTCCATATTCTGGTCTGTGTTAAAGGATCAGTCCAAGAAGCTATTTGCAGTAACATATGTGGTGTTAAACAACTGGTTTTGCTCGATAGAAAGATTTGTTGTATTGTCTCTAGTTCCCGCTCTTGTTTTTTTTTTTTTGTTCTTCTTACGTAACCTTTTATCATTTTGCTTCTCTCCCTTGTCTCCCTCTGCGTATGTCTGTGTCTTTATGTGTTTATTTATTATTGTGTTTTTCTCCTCTAGGTGCTTTGGTCTACTGCTCAGCCCAGGGAAAAATGTGAAGAACAGTGACATGCACCTGCTGGACCTGGTAGGCGGCTGTTTTCATGTGCGTGTGTGTCTGTGTTGTTGTGTGTTTGTGTGTTTTCTAACTTCCTCCAACTTATGCCCCTTCAGGAGTCAATGGGAAAGAGCTCTGACGGGAAATCTTACATCATCACAGGAAGCTGGAACCCTAACACGCCTCAGTTCCAGGCTGTAAATGAGGAAACGCCTAAAGGTGACGGCCAAAATCCTGTCGAAAATTCGAATAAAACTCAACTATTTTCAACAGTTATTATTCCCTTGGTTCATATTTTACTGATTAGGTGATTGTTTATTTTCTCACATTCCCTAAGTTTTAAGATCCCATTCCTAAGTGGTACAATCACTTTACACTTGTAGCATAAATCCTAAAATCCTGCTGCAAAAGAACAATAATTGTAAAATTATGGCTATTATGACATTGAACAGCATACTTCATAGAAAGTACAATTTTAACACATTAATATTACTGTTGTCAAGGACAAGAACACTAATCAACCCAGGCATTATATTTATTCCATATATACGCCACATGCAAAACCACCACTAATTCAGCTTTAAACACAACAAGTCAATCTGCAGCGCTTTTGAATAATTCCCATTTTAAGATAAGCGAATCACTCATGGCACAAACACTGCCACTGTTTTTCATTTAATTATTTTTCTAGATAAATTCATGTACATGACGACAGCAGTGGACCTGGTCATCACAGAGGTGGAGGAGCCGGTCCGCTTCCTGCTGGAGACGAGGGTCAGAGTGTGCTCCCCAAATGACAGGCTGTTCTGGCCCTTCAGCAAGCGTAGCTACACAGAGACCTTCTACCTTAAACTCCGCCAGGTATGTCAAGTCAAGGCACAGTTTCTCCAGCCATGATTAAATCGGTTCAGAGAATGGTCAGTGGTCTCTATGAATGGCACCGGATATCAGCTTTGGGCTTGAACATCTGGGCTAACAAATGTTTTATCGGCTTATCAGAGGATGTGAACTCATGTGTTGTTTCAGATGGAGCGTAAGGAGCGTAAGAGTCCTGCCTCCGACACTCTTTATGAGGTGGTGAGTTTGGAAAGTGAGACAGAGAGAGAGAAAAGGAAGACCACAGCTAGTCCCGGCATCCTGCCTACTGGGCCTGGTACCACGGTTCCTTCACCACCTGAGGATGATGAAGAGGAAGGTGATTGGATCCTGCCCTACTTTTCATCACTTCTACTGGGTTTTCCTGTAATTAAAGTCACAGAATACAGAAGGATAAGAATATATGATTAAAAATCATTTTTATGATATTGCAATAGCAAGTATTCCTCACTAATATGACAACATAGAGCAACATGTGGTTCTGACTAGCTAAACCATATGAAAATGGTTTTAACCTTTTGAAACACGTCCTGTACGTGATCTTGCCAGACACATAAAGCAGCAAACACTTAACTCAAAAGATCATATAAATGATGGTTTGGATTTACTTTAGAAGACTGGTGTCCTTGGTCATGACTGACCTCATTCACCAGCGAGCACCCTCAAGACACAATAATAAAAGTATTACTGCTGTGAAATAGAATAGAGTATGCAGCCTGCGACTATTTGACACAGGCTGTAACAAATAAAAGGCTTGTTGTCCACAGGAGTAAAGATCCAGTGGGTGATCAGACACTGTGTTACAGAACTGTCTGTACTGTATCATCACAAGTACTCAGCTAGCAGTGGTGTGTGTGTTTTTGTATTATTTTTGGAACATGAGAGGCAGCATTGAAACTATTAGGCAGAGAACATCAGTGAAGTACTTTCTGTATCTATCTCTGTGTTTGTCTTTGGTCTACTGGTCCTACGGTACAGTTTGGTCTCACCTTTTGGTGTTCAGTGAAGATGAAACAATTTACTTAGAACAGAGACTCTTTCAATTTACTGACATGTATTTTCATGACATTTATAGAGCTGTAGTTCAAGTTCAGTGTTATGTACACAACTCAGAGGCAGTTCAGCTTAAACCATCACAGTATACAACATCACAAAACATAATATCAGAGGATCCATAGTGTCTGTAAGTGGAGTCCACCATCTTGATAACACCATCAAGCAGAAAGTTTGACTGTGAAACACCAACCTCTTTGAATTAGTAAACACTCACATTTTAAGTTAATCGTTTTTATTTCCCACAAATTTTCACAGTTGTGTTGTTTCATGCGTGTTTGTGTCCAGATAACGACGAACCGCTACTCAGTGGATCAGGTGACGTTTCCAAGGAGTGTGCAGAGAAGATCCTGGAAACCTGGGGAGAATTATTATCTAAGTGGTAAGGCTTTTTTCCCTCATTCACTGTGTCCTTCCCCTTCTATCGCAGTAGCAGTGAAGGTCTACACACACTATTCATTTTTGTGGTGGCTTAGCAGACGTTCTGCCTGTGAAAGAAAGAGCAGCAGGCAGGAATTTTTGATAAGCAGCTTGTTAACATGGCTTCCTTCTCCCTTTACTGCATTTGTTTTTAATCAAAAGCTTGTGATGAACTGAATAGAAACTGTCTGGACTTTAATTTGCTGCAAGTTATGCCTCCTCCACTCACATGCACTGTACAGCATGCCTTTCTCTTTCTCTCTCGCTATCCTGATATACAGTATATACCTGTGGTACAGAACATACATTTAAATGAAGGTATTACATATATCATACACATATCTTTTATAATGTACAGTATATATGATAATCTATAGTAATACATCAGTTTGTGTATTTGTAATATCCTTTGATGACCATTAAAGTACTGAATATTTTAGAGATATATGGCGTCATTGATAAAAAACAATAATGCCCCGAATAAAGAAATCATAAGACTAGCCTGTCATAATACCAGGCTTTGTGTGTGTGACTGGTGATTTTTTTTTGTGTAAGTGAGAGTGTGTGTTGAGGCATTGTGGGATGCAGAGATGTACTGTGGGGATGCAGTGCAGAGAGGCAAATCACAGAAAGCCCTTTACAAACTTATGCCCCTAAGGACCAGGCCTAGCATTACTTACGTCATGTGCCTGCACACACAAGTACACAGCAAGCTTTTGTTTTTCCCTCTTAGCCTCTGCAGAAAATGCCACATATTGCATAACCTAACACTCGGAACAAATAAACACAACAAACTCGGAGGGATGAATTAAATAACGGGGGGGTGAAAAAGTGAGAGAATCATCAAGGATTCAGGGATTTTCTGTCAGCTCCAGTCAAGCAATAGTTAGCTACAGCTGTGCATCGGAGTTTACCTTCTCTTCCTTCTCCTCTCTGTATTTCTAATTCTGTCTCTGTCACTGACAAGAGGGTGGGCAGGTGACTGAGTTCATTCACACAGTTAAGGTTACTGTATGCATAGGATGGAGAATTTCCCCACGAGATTTGAAATTTTAATGTCAGGGAGGAAGAAAGAAAGAAAGAGCTGACATTTCCTTCTGTGTATTCTATTGTGGTTATATTCGAGCTTCTTGTCTTGTGTTGTCTATTGTTTTCCCATCAAAAATGAAGCAGGGGTAGAGTAAAGCAAGTGTAATGTCAGGGGAAAGGGTGTAAAAGAATGTTGTGGATAGATTAAGTGTTGTGTGTGCATGAGTCTGCAGAAGACCTTACATCAAAGATGATAGAATAAGCAGTAAGTAAGTAATAAAGTTGAAATTAGTAAAATAAAGTAAAAATACAATCTCCTCTCCTCTCAGGCATATGAACTTATCAGTGCGGCCCAGGCAGCTGCCAGCGTTGGTGCGGAGTGGTATTCCTGAGGCTCTTCGTGGGGAGGTGTGGCAGCTCCTGGCAGGGTGCCACAATAATGACCACCAGGTGGAAGAGTACCGCACTCTAATAACAAAGGTAAGACCACACCAAAATATTGTCTTTATAAAGATGATCAAGAAAAAACTATTTGCCTTGATCCCCTAATTTTGGTGGCTTCAAACAGGACGACTCAGACCCTTAATTTTTGGGTGAACCAGCAAACTGTCCACATCAGTGATGATTGGAGACATTATCTTTTGGGGATTGTCATCCGTCTGTCTCTCTCACTTCTCTTCACCTTTAGAGAATATCTTTTGGTACTGAGTATTCACATGGACTCAAAAATGAGCTGATTTGATCTTTAAAGGTTAAGGTCACTGTGATCTCACAAAACACATTTAAGGCCATAACTCCATCATTCCTAGTGTAATTATGACAACATATACTTGGTACCTTGAAAAAGTTTCCTTCAAAATCTTCTGCACGTGTCCTATGAGACTTGGAAAATGTGGATGTAAACAGCAGCTTGATAAGTCTGAGGCGGCAAACAACAGTCGTTTTCTCCTGTGTGTTATTGTTCATGTTTGTTGGCAACAGCTGTGGTTCAGGTTTATGTCTTTAAAGCACTCCCCAGGGGCCTCTGTTCTCTTCTCATGTGCTCCAAACTTGTGACGACAACCACTGCTGCTATGTAGACGATACCAGCTGATTACTTGGAGCATAAACAAGATTCTGTTCCTGAAAGGTTTATACACTTTATTTAAAAAGAAGTGTTGTAGTGGTCGACGGTTCTGTGAGAAGGAATAATCATAAAGGTTTTACCATAACTTCTCTTGATTTTGTGACTCAGTATAAACCAGTGGTTTTTAACCAATGCTCAGTTCATAAATGGAGAAACTAAATATATAACTAACATTTTAAATGGAAATAATCCATTTGTATGATGCTGTTTAACTCAAACAGTCAAAGTCAAAAGATTCAGAAAACTGTTCTAGTTTTATTCAGTTTTGCAAATTCCTTCGGGACCTGGGTTAGAAATTTCCTGTATTAGACTATGCACAATGGTTGCTCTGTGATCGGGAAGGATAATTTCATTATTATTATTCAATTATGATGATTTCAATTGGGTATTTTTAACATTAGGTTTGTCATAGCTGCTTTGCCTTGTTATGACCTCTGCTTCATTACTACAAACCCGTGTCTGTAGGTGTTTAAAAAAGTTTTTTGTGTCAGTTTGTTAGAGAATCACAGTGTGCTTGCTTACATCTGTCTAAGGGGACATGTGTTAAAGGATCCGAGGTGACTGTCGCCTCTCCTGTGTGTCCGTCTGTGTAATTTTGTTCTCGGCCACAGCTCTGTCCACTGTTCTTATGTAAAGGCAACAACCCTGGGCAGCAAGCTGGGTCCCAGGTGGTGACAAGATGTTGGTTTTGCCCTCTCCTCCCCTTTGCTCTCCTCCCCCACTCTCTTTTTCCTCACTGTCCCTGACCTCCCTTTCATTTCTCCCTTTGCTCTTTTCCTATCTCTTTCATTCTCTTCTCCTCATGTTCTTGCTGCCCTTTGTCTGTCTGTCCTTTACTGATTTGAAAGCTTAAAGACCGCCAACTCAAATAAAACTTTTACACCAAAATAATGGAATCTCAACTTTCACTCAGACAACAAAAACATTGGATCAGTTAAATCTGACTGTGACAGATGATTTGAGTTTTATTTAGTCCCAGAACGAGGCTGGGCAATGTAGCAGAGAACATTTAAAGAACAAAATGATAATGAAGCTCTTTTTTGATTCAAACCAAATTTAAATCAAAGTAGAACTAAGACACAAAAGGTCATGTTGATAGAACAGCTCAGAAAAGAGTATTGAAATGTATTGCATAATTGTACTCTGCACATTATATGTATTCATTAGGAAAGAATCTTTCTCCACATTATTGTAATCCTCTCATGTATGAATTTGTTCTCTCCCATTTCAGGTCCTATTTTAAAATTTGTACATACTGCATACATGTGCCAGCTCCTAATTTGTCCTGTTTTTGTGTGTCTCTTTGTATTCAATGTCACTGTATGTACATCATGTCCCAGCAAGTGCCCTCTTTTGTGTTGTCCCCATCTGAACTTGGTGTTCATCCATATTTGAATGCAGGGCATTGATGGAAGTGGGGGCAGGGCTGTAGGTTGTTGATATTTAACCTCTTCCTTCACTGTGAAGTCTGAATGAACTCCCTGATGTGAGGGTCCCTGCTGCCAAGTACTGGAAGTACCCGTCTGACTTAAAATGCTGACTCATTAACACTCCACCAGTTACCAATAAACTCATTAGGCTGTTTTAGCCATGGCCCACATTTTGCATCAGCTCCATAAATGATAGTGAGTAGAGGCCAGTCAGAGTTACACAGTTTGGGCAGCACGCGGGTCCAGTGCCAACTGATTTTAATCAGGAAGATGTTGCGAAAGGCGGCATGACATATTGGCTGGCAACATTTTGCTTTGTGCTCAGGGGCTGTAACATCGTGACCATAGTACAGTATGATGGACATAAATAGTTATTAAAATAATCTTAAGTGTAGCCTTTGAAAGTAATGGCCATGTTTTAATCAAATTTTATGCTATAATCAGTTGTCCTGTGGTAATATTGAAATCAATATTTTATACATTGGGTTCATCATCAATAAAGAAGCATTCCACTCTAACTACAGGGAAAGCTTGAGAGTCTAGATTTGTAACCAGCTAACAACATGATTCTCATGTTTGCTTGTTGCAAAAATAATAGGAACACATGCAGAGCAAGTGGATCAAGTTGCCACGTGGATGAAGAATCACTGATCACCTTGTCTGCTTAAGTTCACAATTGGTATCAAACAGGTTGCGGCAGCTTCAAGGGAATAGGAGTCTCTTTAATGTAATTATAATGTTTGTTTGTTTGTTTCCCATTAATTATCTAGACTGTGGCAGCCCGCCATATTCTAATTTGTCCAGCCACAGTTTCATGATAAATCAAAGAATTTTCACACTTCGCATAATAACATAAGAGATCTCTAAATCTGTGTGTGCCCCGTGTTCACTCACCCTGTTGCACTACCCCGAGCTACCATGTGCTTGTGCTATGGTCAATACAGTTTTTACTGTAATGCAGACAGTCAGATTGTGTTAGAGATGGAGATCTAATGAAACATGATTTTTGAGATGGGCGGCACGGTGGTGTCGTGGTAAGCACTGTTGCCTTACAGCAAGAAGGCTCCCGCTTCAAATTGCAGGTTTGTCCGGTTCTTTCTGTGTAGATTTTGAAAACTCATCCTGTATCTGTGTGGGTTTTTTCTGTGGGTACTCTGTGACTGCTCCAAAGACATACAGATTGAGGTCTGGTTTTCCAGAGACTCTCAAATTGTGTGATTTGAATTGGTGTTTGTCTCTCTGTTGGCCGTGTGATACACTGGTGACCTGTTCGATGGCAGCTGAGATTTGCTTCAGCTCCCCTTGCGACCCTCAAAGGATAAACAATAGCGATAATGGATTGACGGAGGATTTTTCAGGTTGTATTTTTCTTCTGCATGTGTGGTCAATGGTGGTGACGAGTCATATTGGATCACTTATATTGATACCGAAAGATGTTTTAAACCTCATCTACCTCCATAAGTCGAGCAGGCTGTTAGAAATTAGGTAAGGTAGGTAGCATAGACACACAGGGACCTGACAAACACAGGCCCGGTCCCCAGACCCACTGCGCCAACCTCCTGTGGAGAGGAAAACAAGCACTCTTAGCTACCTGTCTGCCTGTCCGTCTCTGTTGGACCCACATCATGACCTGTCTTTCTATCTTTTTTCACATCTGTATTTGTGTACGCCTAACTCTTGACTCTCACTGACTTCTACCTAGACCTTTGTGCTCCTTATAAGTTGTCCTGCCTCTCTTTTTCCGCCTGTTCATTTGTGTTATGTCACATTAACTACTTGCCTTTTTTCTTTTTCCTCTCTTGCCATCCTAGTGAGTCAGCTTCTTCCCTTTTTTGACCGTACTTTGACTGTATGCCTCTCCCATAGGTTAATGCTTGCAGACATGGAAATACTTTCAAATATGCTTTATCTGGCTTTAAAGCCAGTTTCCTATAAGATACACAGTGAATGCTAGAAGGCTCACTCAGTTCATGAGTCAGTTATTTTTGCAGTTGAATGTAAGCAGTCCTCAATATTCCTTGAATTTTGCGTCATCTTCGTACAGTAACCTGTTTGTGTTGATCTGCGACTACATAACCAGTCTCAGGACCCCTGCCTTATGATGCTTTTACTTCTGCTCTAGGCTCATGGTACAGAGATAAATATCATTAGTTCACAGATAATACGGTGTATTGGTTCTCCACTTCTTTGAAATTTTAAAAGAATTTCATTGCTACCAGGCACTGCTTTGATAAATTCTCTGAAAAAACAGTCCATCAGCTGATGCTGATACAAAAAGCTGGCACCTTGTGTCTGCTGATTTTTATATTTATATAGGAACAGAACAGAATCATCTGGATTATAAACCACCAGATGGGAGGTGGTGGTTGGTGGGTATTTGTAATAATCAGATGATAGTCAGCCAGTACGGCAGTGAACTGTCTATTGATTTAGTGGTACTTAGCAATAAATGTGGTGAAATTTAGATCTATTCCAATGTATTAATAGTTTTGTAATGAGGTAAAGATCCACAACATCTAGTCCTCAGATTAATCACAGGCGGGTAATATTTGGCATTAATTGCATTCCATCCCAACATTAACTACAGGAACACCAGCAAAATCTCTATGTTAACTAATATTGTGATTTGATAGGATTATATGAGCAGTGATCTTTGAGGCCATCGGTTATCGTCTGATGACCACTACGTTGTTGCCTGTACACCTTTTACATATAAATAGGGTGGTCGATAAATGAAATAGTCGACAGCTAATGCATTTCAGTCAGTGTGTTCCGCCTTTTTTGCTCTCCACAGACCCTGTTTACCTGCGGACAACCACGGGTGATTGGCCAAAGTAGAAACAGAAACTTCTTTTCCGACACCTAATTATTCTGCATATTCACATCCAGGATCTGTTTATAGAGATCATATATGATCAGTAACATGCTTTTTAAGAGTAATTATTGTAAACATCAGTTGCAGGCTGCTTGTCCTTGAGAAGAACCATGAGGATGCATACTGTAAGTTAGACATCTAACAGCTCAGCTTAGGAACCAGGTGACAGTACATCATGATTGCCCTTCTTTATTCCTCCCATTTTTCACAGCTATATTTTCCTCTTACTGATTTTGTCTCTGCGATCTTGTTTTCCTTTCTCTCCTCCACCTCTTCCCCCTCTCATCCTTGATGAGCTCTGTGTTTTCCTTTGACCTCCTTCCATATCCTTTTCTCCCATTCCTCTTCTTCCAACCCTTTTCATCGTACTGTCATCTATTTTTAGCTCCTCGTGTGGTGGGCAGAGGAGGTGCGTGAAAGCATGGGAGTGTGTCTGGATTGCAGAAAGGTGCAGGCTGGTGTGCGTGTGTGTGTTTGGGTCTCCATCACGCTACACCAAATTGCCCTGCACGAGACAAACTCTGCAGGCTTCAGAAAGTCATTAAAATGAGGAGGATGAGGCGGATGAGGAGCAGCATTAAATCTGACAGTGATTACTACCCACTAAGTTTCTAATATTAGTGCCAGATTCTGAGTAATTAAATGTAGCATCACATGCTTTGATCCAAAAATAACACAGTCATTAATTTTTCTAGCACAGAGACAGTAGTAGTTTTGTAGTGTAAGTATTGTATAAAGCATGTATTGTATTGCTGTTTGTTTTTAGTATAGTTGTTTGTCTTTAAGTATCTTAACTGATGTCACATTTTTTAAATTTTTATTTTCTGTATGAGCCTCAGGAAAAGTGGCTGATATCCAACAGCAGGGACTTGCTGATTCTATTTTAAGACGACAGAATAAAATGTTTAATAGAGTCCTAACCGGGGCTTTGAGAGCCTTGCAATAAAACCTGGCTGTTGATATTGCTGTGAGGGAGATTTAAAAAAGTCTGGTATGGTCATGTTACCTGCGTGTATCTGACTGTATCAAAGCAATTCTTGAATAGATGTCAAGAGATGCAGCATGTGCTGATACATGCTAAATCAGGAGCAGGTGCATAACTGTTTAGTGCCAAATAGATAGAAAGACATGTACAAGCACACACACAAAAATACACAGACACACATACACAAATACACAAATACATAAACAAAGTTAGAGTATTCGCCACTTGGTACTACAGATTTACAACCATGCACAATGTTGCAAAGCCTCCATCTGTCTTTCTCTTTGAAACTAGTTAACAAAATAACTATTATATATCTGAAAAAGCTTAAAGGGGTGATATTATTTATAGAACAATTTCCCTTAAACCTTCCCCAGGGCATGCACTTAATGTTTAACTGCAAACAAGTTTCAACATTTCTGGATGCAGAGAACAGGACTGGGCTAATACTGAGTTTTGCTAATTTTAACAGTGTGAAACAGTATTTGAGGATCAGGGGTAATTATTTGAAACAGTGAGACCCCCCCCCAACACACACACGCACGCACGCACACACGCACACACGCACACACGCACACACACACAGGGGAGGAGTGAGAGGGTGGGGGAAGGAGGCAGCTTCATGCCCTTGCAGTTGATCATTGGTTGAACTCAAGGGGAAGGGGAGGGGCTTCAGTGCCACTGTTTCTGTAGAGAGAGGGGCAGAGGGACCGAGAAAGAGAGAGAGAGAGAGAGAGAGACACACAGCAAAGGAGGATAAATGAACACGGGTGGGGGGGTTCTCCCAGCATCGGTATGCCTGCCTACCTCATTTCCACTCCAGACATAGTTGCTGCTCCTCTGGATAGAAATAACAGCTGAGGTGTGTTTGTATGTGTGTGTGCGTGCATTTTTTAAACATCAGTACCCTGTGCACTGCCTTCATCCTCTCAGTTCACAACAGTCTGCGGGGATCTTACAGCGAAGGACCGGACAGAAACTGAGACAAGAGCTGGCAGACTTGGAAGTGTGGTGAAAAGAGGGTAAAGGAGCAGCACGAAAGAAGAGGACAAGAAGACGAATCAGGAAAGACAAGCAGGACAGAGTTCCATGACAGAATCAAAAGGAGAGATTATCCTGAATGTCTCCTTCCCTCAATTTATGTTTGCAACGCATTACACAGTAATGCTCTCTCACTGGAAGCTGTGTTTGTGACTCTGGACAGATAAAACGACAGCTTCAGTCTGCGCTTTCTACAGCTGTAGCAGATGTTGAAGACATCTTTGACTTTATAGGGAGGGGAAGCCTTTCAAGCACAGATTGGACTAGAATTTCTTTAACAAAGTCACCTTTTTTTTCCATTTTTTTCCTTTTCACCTGGGACGTTGGCTTCACTGGAAAAAGGGAGAAACATTTTTTTTGTGTGATTGATTGTGCCTGGTGGTTTGAAATCTTCCTCATCCTTCCCTGCCTGTGCATCCCTCCTGCATTTGTTAATGGCAGATGGCCGCACTCTCCTCGTTAAACCGCAACATGGAGCCTTTATTTTGAACTGAAACCACAAAGACGCTTTCAGAAAAAGCCAGCTACCTGACAAAATAGTGGGTTCTTGGGTTCTTTGTACCCTCGAAGGACCCCTCAGACAAGAATCACTGCCCAAGATGACGAATTTTTCCCTGGATCCACTGAACCTGAGCTCCGCTGACCCATCAAATGTATCTGCTCCCTTCTGCCTGCTGGAGATAGGCTATTCCCAGATTTTCACCACCTGCCTCCTTGAAGTCTCGATCATACTTCTCCTCACTATTCTCATTATCTCTGGCAATCTGGTGGTGATTTTTGTGTTTCACTGTGCCCCCTTGCTTAGCCAGCACACCACCAGTGCTTTCATCCAGACTATGGCGTATGCTGATCTGCTGGTGGGGGTCAGCTGCCTGTTCCCCTCCCTGTCCCTCCTCCATCACCTACAGGGCCTCGACCCCAAACTCACCTGCCAGGTGTTCGGGTACATGGTGTCTGTTTTGAAGTCCGTTTCGATGGTGTCGTTGGCGTGTGTTAGTGTAGACCGCTACATCGCCATCACGCGACCTCTGTCTTACGCGTCCCTAGTAACACCTTGTCGAGTGCGCTGCTGCATCATTCTGATATGGCTATATTCTGCTCTGGTGTTTCTCCCATCATTTCTTGGGTGGGGTAAACCTGGTTACCATGGCGATGTGGTGGAATGGTGTGCACTTCAGTGGAGGACTAGTCCGGCTTTTACAACCTTTATCGTTGCACTGCTCTATGCCCCAGCAGCTCTCACTGTCTGCTTTACCTATGCCAATATCTTCAAGATCTGCCGACAGCACACCCGGGAGATCAGCGAGCGCCACGCACGTTACCGACCCCAACAGCTGCAGGGCCCAGGATTGACTGTGGGATCTGTGGTCAAGGACAACAACGCAGCAGAACATGGGCAGTTCCCCCACTTGTCCCAACCACAGAAACTCCAACACCACCAACCACAGTATCAGCAGCCCACATCAACATATCCAGACAAGCGATACGCTATGGTACTGTTCCGCATTACAAGCGTTTTTTATATCCTCTGGTTGCCCTACATTCTTTACTTTCTGTTGGAGAGTGCAGGGATCTACCACCACCCTGCAGCATCGTTCCTCACCACATGGCTGGCCATCAGCAACAGCTTCTGTAACTGTCTCATCTACAGCCTCTCCAACTCTGCCTTCAGGAAAGGCCTCAAACGCCTCTGCTCCTTCTGTGTACAGCGCAGTGGCGGTGGCTTTGGGGTTAGCAACACCAAAAAGACTTTCGTCGGCTCTGTTGAAAAAGGATGTGCGGGGCCAGGGTATGGATACGGCCATGGCGAAATCAGAATTGGCACAACATGTCATGTGTAGTGCACACACAGACTAAACCCTTTTGCCAAATTGGCAGTTGAACTTATTGAAAAGATGCCTGATGTGTCGTTGAATGACTCATCTGCTAAGCTGAAATATGCAGATAAGAGACGGAAGGAGGTGTCAATCTGCCACTGCTGCTTCTGTGGCATTGGGAGGCTACACAGGCATCCTCTCTGCCCATGCCACAGTTGGCAAACGCAGACAAAGGGAGTCAAGAGCAGAGCACTGACGTACAGAAAGACCCAAATAGTGTTTGAAAATGGTCACAGCATGCTCTGTATACGGACAGGGTTGATCGATGGATAGGATAAGAAAAAGGTGTCTGTAAAGGTCTGGAGGGGTGAATTTTTTGGTGGTCAAACAACATTTTTATTGGTTTTTATTTATGGAAAGTGAATTCTTAACTTATTTTGCCAAAACTGTTCCAAAAGGCTGTCTGTGCTGTAACATGCCCTTATCCCCTTAGTGTCTTCATACTAACTGTTGAAAAGCAGCCATTTTATTGTTTGGTTATATTGATTTAACTGATTCTTGTTTCTCTGCTTCAACATTTCAGATTCTTTGTGGACTTTTAGATTATTTATTAATGTTGTGATACAAGATAAACTTTATGACTTTAACCAAGTTGTGGGTTCACACACTGAGCCAGCTGTTATTGTAACATATGACGAGAGATGCTGACCAGCTTTGGTGTACGACTGTTAACCTGACAAAAATCTAATTTTCTATTCTCATTAATTTCCTTGTTAGTTTCATTGCACCTTTGTTGTTTGGATTATGTTACTCAACCTTTTTCATAACTGTGTCCAAGGCAAAGAAAGGATATAGTTTTACACCTATGATTTTTGGTACATTATCACTTTAATTTTCTGGAAACATGTAGATGGATGACCTTAAGAACTTTAGAACTGAACAGACAAATAGCCCATTCACTCTGCCAGCAGGCTAACCTGTGCAGCACCATGAAGAGGGACTGACCCTTCGATCCTAAGGAATTGCAGTTCCATGTGTGTATGTTTGTGTCTGTGTGCATGCATGCGTCTGTTTCCATCATCTTGTTCTCATGTGTAGTTTTGTCATCACTTTGTACTCTAACTTATTTCAAACAAACTTATCTTAAACCGAAAAGACTCCGTGTGTACATACATATATGGTGTCATAAACTCAATGGTTGTGAAAAAAAGTATCTCTTTTTTGAACCATAAAGACTTTCACAGTTTATTTAGGTGCAGATATTCTGTACGTTATTTAATCGAACCAAAGAAAGTTCAACAGTTACTGGTTTTTTTTCTAAATATGTGATATATCATATGAATTTAGGCGAATGCAAATGGATTTAAACAATGTTTGTGTAGGTCCACTGCACTGTGTTGGCTCAGTGATGCCTTGTGTGCATGACTTTGACTGTTTCTCAGTGTACAGCGACATATTGTTGCCTTGATGCACTAATGAAAATGAACTGTTGGGGAGGTATTTTCCTCCAACAGCGAGGGAGGGCTTGATTTATGGGTGTGACTGTTTTTTGAGGGGATGACACTGACTGAATCATTCATGTTCATTAGTCAGCCTCTGTCGCTTAATCCCACTTTCAAGTCATTTTAAAAATGTGACTGTTAATCCAGCTACTCTTCAAAAGATAATTTGTAATCAATATTTTTGTCTTCCGTGAAACTGAAAATAATCAGGAGCAAACAAATGACTCAAAACTGTTCGATTTTTTTTTTTTGCATGCATGCATGCATTTGTTCTTAGGTGTATGAGTATGCGTGCAGGAATGTTGGGGTGTGACCACTGGCTGAATTGGACTGTTGAACTTGTTGCAACAAGGATGCTAACAAAGTTATCACCTCTCAATGCTTTATTAGCTGGACTTCACTTCCTTCCAGTACACTGTACACACCGTGAGTGTGATATAGTGGTAGTAGAGAGATTCACATGTTGACTTTTAATATATTTTGGCTGACATATGTTAATTATTGCCAAATATTGTAATATTTCCTTTTGGAATGGCGTGTACAGGAGTGGCGTATTGAATGTCTAATCGTTGAACTACACACAATTTATTTTTGTAAACTTGCTCTTTGTATAGTTTCTTGTGAAGTGATAAATGTTGTCCTTTTCTATTTGAAAGAGTTTGATTTTTCACTAATCCAATTTAATTTCTGACGGCAGTTAATGGTACAATTTCTGAGAAATGTAAAGTGTAGGGAAATTATTTTGCCAAAACATGGTCTCATTTGTGTAGACTCACAAATATGTTCTCATTGGTGACTTTTGGGGACCTATAGACTTAAACGCAGAATTTGGCAAAACTTAACCACTACTTGTCTCACCCCAACCATAACTACTGACCAAAATCAGTGTTTCTCCCAAACTCATTGCTTTTTAGTCATTGCTTGTATGTCAGAAACACCCACATTCCCTTTTTCCTGTGGGAAAACAATTGGCTCCCATGTTCTCAAGGGAAAAACCCTCTCATTTTGACTGTGTCAAGATGCAGTGTCATGCTGGGTGGGGTTGCACAGGCGAGGTAGATTGTACACTTGGCATGCTCTGGGTTAGTTAATCAGTTTATCAGACATCATTAGTAAAACATTTTAAAAGCTATCTGCACATAGTTGCATTTGTATACTGGCAATAAAGTGAAAAAACTACATAGTAGAAGGAAGATAAAAATGGTGTCTAGCCTCCATAGCTGAAGGTTGTATTGTCTTTCGAGAGTCCTTATGTTGTCCTTTATTTTATTTCATTTTAATCCCATTAGACTGCAGCTGCCTAGATGTGTATCTTGGGAAAAAGCGTATAAGTGTAAAAATTGTATTTGTATAAACTCCAGCAACAGAACAACAGAAATGTTCAAATTGATAATAACAATTGGGACATATTTAACGCAAATTATTAAAACGTATTCTGAGGCACAAGAATTTTTGTTGTGAACAATGAACTGCAACAACTGAGTACTGTTTGACTATAGGATCTTCCAGCCTCACTCTAATTTGTGCACTTTAACTCACAAACACACACACATGCTCACACTGTGGTATTGTCTTATCTATCTTTTAATGTCTGTTGAAATGTATTCTTTTTGTTTTTGTAAGACTCTGAATAGGACACACCAGACCCCAATAATGCCTGACTCATGACACAGAGCTGGTATGAGACACACATTGTTATCACATTAAGATGAGGCTGACCACAGATGCAGCTTTTTCACTGGAGCCGATTCTGCATTTCTGTTTGACCACACTGAACGCTTAATATTTGTTTCTTTAGATTTCTGTTTAACAAGCCACTACCATGTTAGATATTGCCACACACATGCGGGTGTTGAATTTTAAGGTTTTTGTAAGATGGCTGCTTTCATACATGGAAAATGTTGGGATCTTGTAAATGATCAAACTTGTCTAATTTCACTTTAATTGAAAGTGATTCTCTATGACCAATAAGACACTTCTCATCGGATGATGCTTTGCAGGTTTGGAACCTGTTTGGTATTGTGATTTGTCCATGTTGTGTATCTGTACAAGGCAAATAAAGGTAATATTGTCTCAAGTATTTAAACCTCCTTGTACTGACTACTTTGCTATGACAGAGCCGAGAATGTGTATAGTTTAACGTGTGTTTGGTCAAGAAAAGGAATGGTTAATACCATTAGTAAACACCACTGTTGTTCATTAGCACACGCATATTTGCGACAAATATCATTAACTTTTGTAATAAGCAGACCCTCCTTCATATTTTTATTGAGGTAGGTGACTGTTAGCCAAAGAGTAAGTAGCGCAGTTGATAAGAAAAGTAATAGCTCTCTTTAACATTCACACAGCATTTTCCACCATTTGTCAAATTGTGAACAGCTCATGTTTATTTTTGGAGATAAAAATAAATTGTTGTTACATTAAAGTGCTGTAAATGGACTGTAATACGGCAGCACAATATTTGTGCAAGCGGTCGGTCTGCTGAATTTTCGTGCTGGCAGAGCGGCTGTGGGAAATGTTGGTGGACCCGATTGGCAAATAACACCAGAAGAAAATGCAAGCCATTGGAGTGCTGGCACAAAAAGTAGGGCATGAGACAGACAATTAAGATTTAATGACGGGCGACGCCAAGGTGAGGAAGCAGGCGCTATGGGGAGCTCGAGCATCGGTCGATCACAGATTATTATAAAGGATAAAAAGACAGAAGGAACCACTGTATCACAATAACTAGTGATTCATAAAAAAAAAAAATCAACATTTCACCTATCCAACATTTAATACAATGTTAAACTTACCATTTATTCATAATTCAAATTTAATTCCAGTGACATATCAACATGTGGCGCTTTGGTATATTTGGGGAACAAGGTTTGTATCAAGCTTGACAAATATCACCCTGTGTTCTCTTGGCATCTCAGCAGGGTCCTTTAGGAGCAGAGAAAGAATAACAGAATGACATGTCAGCCATTGTGTTGAGTCAGAGAAAATCAGGGACAGAAAAACAATAGAGGGCTAGCTACTCAACCTTCCCACGGAAGCCCTACTGTGGTACTTTATTCCTAGCTTTAGATGGGCATGTACACACACACACACGCACACTCATTGTAACTGCCATTTTTGGCTTTCCCTCAGTAATGTGTTTTTATTGTAGGTTCGTTAGGAGAACATGTTTTGCCTCTTGACGGTCATTAACTTCATAAAGCCTCTTTGATTCCCCTGCAGAACTCCTGAGGCAGTAAGTTGTCATGGACAGTTGACAGCACTTCAACAGTCATAGTATTTGTGTAGCTTAAGCTGTTGGATTCTTTGGCTGCCAGACACTTTATTTTCTGTTGGCATGAATGAGATTTAAGGGTATTGTTAACAGGAGGGGACATCTTTGGCTTGTGTAGTATTTTTATTACAGTTTTAAACTTTAATTTATGATATATTCTTTTAGAGTTGATTGTCATTCATTTTTTATGTTATGTCATTGGCCCCCTCCAAGGTCTGAAGCTGTGCTGAAAGTAATGCATTAAACAATTTCAGGAATAGATGCACATTTTGGGAGATTTGGTGGAACACAGGTCTGTGTGCAGCGAAGCCTTATACTCACCTAAAGAGCCTCAAGGGGTTAAATGTTTTAAGCATCACTTAGTCTTAGTATTTATTCGAATACATTTGTTTTTCATTGTCTTTTCTACTGTTACATAGAGATGCTCTATTCTTAGCACTATCCTTTCTCTTCTCTCTTTTTCTCTTAATCACTTTAACACTCCCTTCCGTCCACTACCATGAGACACTGGATATGTTTTCCCTCCAAACTCACGCTAGCCTCATTCCAAACTGTTAAACCGAACTGACAGACAGACAAAGAGGAAGCTAATTGGCCATTATGTCAGAGGTCTTTGTACGTGCTCTCAGCACTTCAGATAAGTTTGGCTAAGTGGTGCTCGTGTAAACATGGATCCTTATCATTCACTGAGAGACTGAAGCACCGTGTAATGGGCCCTTCACTCTGGATGCAGTAACTCCACCCCTGTGCTCTAAAACACATCAATACCAATACTTTTTGCTGTAAAAGAACTGATTGCAGAAGTTCTACCTAAAATCTATTGATGCACTTTGGGGGCATTTCTGTCTCTTTTGGAAAATGTGGCCTAGGCAGCCAGAAATGACAGACTATTGAAGAAGCTGGAGGACAACTTTTGAAAGGACCTCTCAGATCATTGGATGGGACATGTTACATGATATGTTGAATGGTAAAAAACTGTGTCTGTTAAACACGGACAGTTTAATGGCCGAGAATCAGACTTCTACAAGCATCTATTCATGTTTGCTTTGCTCACACACACACACACACACACACACACACACACACACACACACACACACACACACACACACACACACACTCATGGCAGTAACTATGAGTTATTGGGTGTGGTGGAAGTTTTGGAATGGACTTAAAAAAGGCCACTGTTGTTGGTCTCTGTTCCCCATTTGTTTGCTTTGTTTTACTATTCCTTTCTTCCTGCATTTCTTCTTATTCTTGCCTTATTTTTGTTTCACTCTCTTCCTCTGTGGAAGTCGGAGCAGTAACCTTGGGAAAAGGAGAAGAGGGGGGGGGGGGCTTAATGTATAACAGAGGGAGTAAGAAGGTATAATTAGCTACACAGGGAACAAGAGAGATTTACACTGACTTACAGCATGGGGTTGCAGGATGGTACTGCATGTAGGGGATTTAATTAGACGTGCCTTTGAGCAAGGCAATGGATGGTGAAAAACTTGATTGCTTTCTGACTTCCCAGTTCACATTGGAAACATTTTTGGATGAGAGTCTCACATTAACTGGGTCATTTAACATGAATTTATTGTGACGTACCGCTGACTAAAAGCCAACCCATCTTTGCCCCTGCTGACTGTCTCATTATCTACTGATGGTTCGAGAGCAGAGTCTCAGCACCAGGCTACAACTTTAATGGATTTCTGCCTAACAAGTTAAATGGATTCCCCACTTTTGTATTATGTCTTCCAACTTCAGAGTCTCTCTGCCTCCAAATGCCACACTCACGCAGTACTTTATGAGGAACACCATATTAACACTGGGTAAAGCCCTTATTTGTTCTCAGAACAGCCTTGTGGCATTGATTCCACATGATGTTGGAAACACTCCTTTGAAATTCGGCTCCATGTTGACATGCTTGCGTCACATTACTTTGCACATTTGTCAGCTATACAGTCATGCAACGAATCTCCCATTCTGCCACATCCCTAAGGTGTTGCTCTGGATTCAGATCTGGTGCATGAGGGAGGCCACTGAAGTACACTGAGCTCATTGTCATGTTCATGAACCAGATCTTAGGGAGGACTTCTGCTTCGGTGCATCTTCCAAGAAGTAGGAATTACAAGATGGTTGATTGTGATGAGAAGGGGATGAACAGATTCAGCAAAAATACTCGAATAGCTTGTGGCTTTGAAATGATGATTGAGTTGTTATAAGGGGGCCAGAAAAAATCGTATAGAATGTATAATATTGTTGCGAGTGGAAGTGTGAAAACTCCTTTTCCATTTGTCTTATTTGGACTGTTGAAAAAGGCAGTAAGGCTCGATGGATTCAAATTCAACCTCAACAAAAATATTCTGATTCTTCAGACAAAGCAATGTTTTTCCGTTTTTAAGTATCAGATGCTGTTGAGCTTGTGTCCACTGCAGCCTTAGATCTCTGTTCTTGGCTTAAGGGAATGAAACTCAGACTGGTCTCCACCTCAAGGTTTGACATGTTGTCCATTCTAAGATGCTTTTATGCTCACCACAGTTTTAAAGAGAAGTTATCTGATAACTCACACAAATTTGTATTTGACTTCAATAAAGCATTGGATTCTTGTGTGTTATGTTTACACTGTTGTGAGTAAACTCTAGAGATTGCTGTGAAAATCCCTGGAGACCAGCAGTTTCAAAAATACTGCAAACAGCCCCTCACGCACCAACAATTATTCCACAGTAAAAGTCATTGAAATCACATTTTCCCCCCTTTCTGATGTTTTATGTGAACATTAACCAACGCTCCTGAAATGTATTTGCACGATTTTATGTTGTGCACAGATGCCACATAATTGACAGATTGGATAATTGCATGAATAAGCAGTTTTGCAGATGTTTCCAATAAAGTTCTCAGTGAATGTGTAAGAAGACATCTTTAAATGTGTATCTGATTTGTAATGTAATGGCGGTGGTGTCTTAGAGTAGCATTAGTTATTTAGAAGCTGTTTGTTCCAAACACACTGATCATCAATAATGAAATGAAGTGTGATTAATCTTTGAAAAGCAAAGCCATTTTGGAGTATTCACCGATCTCTCTGTGTTTGTGTGTGTGGCATTTCCACTGTTCAGCTCCCTGTCATCACAGTGGAGGGGTTTCCCACAAAAGTATGTTTGTTCCAGGCTTGTGTAATGCAGTTGGTGTTGTAGTCACACTTCTGTATCCTGATGCTGGCTAATCTCATCTGATCTTGTGTCCTCATTTTTATTTCGTTAAGCTCCGGCAATGTCGGTTTGCTCGAAAAATCCCTGTGATTTTTCCTCTTGTGCCACTTCGAGGTTGATGTTTTGAGTCTTGGGAATGAAATGCAAACATTATTTTTCATAGCATCAGCATGTTAGCATCGCAACTATGAGCATATTAGCCTGTTTACAAAAGTAAAGGAGATAACGCCGTCCGACGATTCCTTTATGGCCCACATCTTGAACACACGATTGTGTAGACAGACTCTCTTGCTGTTGTCTTTTCCAAAATCCTTGTTCATCATGATGTTTTCCATCAAGGTCAAGGAAGATGTGGAGCATAGCATCAATTTCTATGAAAAAAACTGTTCACATGCAGAGAAGAACAAAACCCTGCTTGAGTAGAAAGATTTTCATATGCATACACTTTTTATCAATAGCAAAATTGTAAATGTGTAATATAATAAAAATGTATCTCCCAAATGACTGAATCTGCCTGTGTCAGACTTTCTTCACTTGTTTCACCCATTTTGACTTTTTGTCTCTTTTTCTCACTGTAAGGAGTCCCCCCAGGACAGTGCCATCACCAGAGACATTAATAGGACATTCCCAGCTCATGACTACTTTAAAGACACTGGAGGAGACGGACAAGACTCGCTCTACAAGATCTGCAAGGTGGGACACTAACACACACACATACGCAAGAGTTTGTCTTTTCCAGTAGGATATTGCACCTCATAAAACTATTGTTGATTCCCATCATGGCTTTAAAATGGCTTATATGTAACTCCACTCCTTCCTTCTGTAGTTCAGTTTGGCCCTGACATGCATTTATAGTTTCATGATTGCTGAGGATCAAACTAGTTTAGGAAGCGACAAATCCTCCGCAGGTGAAATTCAAATCATCAGGAGGAAATAAATAATCACCCGCATGTGAAATTGAATCACATGTTTTGTAATTGCTATGTTAATGATTTGCTTTACAGTAGGTCAGGTAATAAAGTTTGTGGAGCATTAGCTAACACCAAAATGAACTGTTCATTAATTAACTGAGCAGCCACTCTGTTTCTGGGTGGTTCAGTGAGTTCATAACTGTCTCCGGCTGTCGAGGAAGGCAAAATAAGTTTCTAATCGAACACACACACTCACACACAGGCACATACACCAGTCTAGTGTAATTAGTCCTATTGCATAGCTGACGCACACACGCACACACACACACACACACACTCTCTCTCTCTCTATGGTGTGATGGTGAAGTGCTTGTCATCTCTTTCTCAACATGTGAGTCTAGAGTCAGACGTACACATACTTCATCCTATAGTTCCGTGTACCCACATGAATGCAACATGTTCACACCTTCTCTTTCATTTTCATTTCATTCATTATGCATAACTCAGGTGAGGGCATCCATCTCCTCTAAGACAGGCACCTCCTCAGGTGCATTTGAATAATTGAGTGGGCCCTCCCTTTTCACAGTGTGGATTGATCCACACTTTGTTTGACTTGTACTTATTATTTCGGTTTGTAGCTCAGTAGGCCACACCACCACCAGCACTGCAGCCATTTTTCCAATTCTCTCCCTTCTTCTCTTTTTTTACTCCTCTCTGTTCGTGATCATTTTCCCTTTGTTCCATCCCTACATCCAGTTCTTTACATCATTTAAGCCTTCTTTTACAGTTCAAATGCTTGTTACTGGGCACTTCACCAGAGTATTTAGGAGCAGAGATGACTCTCAGCAGCTTATACAACATAATTCAAGTACTCTATAGTCAAATAAGTGTAATCTGGGTCCAACACTAATCTATTAAACTTCAACCTCCATAAGTATATTTAAGAAAACGTCAACTGTCCCCCTTCATGAGAAGAAAAAAATTGAATTCACTACGAAGGCAGTGAAGCACCTGTACAATTTGCATTTCAGGGTTTTTAGGAAAGCTGGACACACTATCAGAACAAAGAGGGGATGCAGCCCTTTCACAACAAGTCATTATTTAGAGTTATGTATATATAATATTGACCTGACTTGGTGNTCTATGAATCTAGGTGAGAACAAATTCATTGAATGTTGGGACTGTCATGATGATGGATGGACAGTAGCATTTCTTGTGTGTGCCATTTCTCAGCTTCTCTTTCTGTTGAAAGTCATGTTGCACATACAGTGGAGCTTGAACAATTTGTGGAATAAAAATTCAGTATTTATTTATTCACTTCATGTTTATCTGTGGAATCTGGTTATATCATAAATACTGTGTAATGTAGCTTTATAAATCTTCATTTGTATCATACCAGTTACAGGCTTGAGTCGTAAGGAGACAGTTACATTTGAACTACCATCCAGGATATAGTTATTAGTTATGTAATCTCATTACCCCTTGAATTCCCTGTAAAACTGATTCTGTTTGTCTTTGTCTTCTCCTTCAGGCTTACTCTGTTTATGATGAGGAGATTGGATACTGCCAGGGACAGTCCTTCTTGGCTGCTGTGCTGCTGCTGCACGTGAGTTCACATATCCGCAGGTTCCCGCAAAGCTTTCAAACAATTTCACCACCAGAGCGGAAATGTTTTGTTTTCATTAGACGTCTATATCTTTTTGAAATTCCAGGGAAGGTTGAGAGTGGAGAACTGGTCTGGCTAGCCTTTCCTGTGTAGTCAGTTTATCAGCTGATTTGGTTTGATGGACTCTTACTGAATAACAGCAGAAAGATGTTAGATGGAAGGTGGTTTCTCTGAGAAACAGACTTTATTAGTTATAAATAATGTTCACGTTCATCGTCCAACCTTTTGCTTTTGAGCACTCTGTAGTCCATGGACATGTCAACACTGCCACCTAGTGGACAAACCATGTACATTTCTTTTTAGTCAAATTGTTTGTGTATAGTGCTATATAAGTAATAAAACTTAAATGTGAATCACATCTTGTAATCTTAGTGAAATTAGAATCAGAAGTTGAATTGACATGAGCTGCTGATCACTAAATCTCTTGTTTCTCTCCCTCAGATGCCAGAGGAACAAGCGTTCAGTGTCCTGGTCAAGATCATGTTCGATTACGGTCTCAGGGATCTTTTCAAGCAGAACTTTGAAGATCTACATTGCAAGTTCTTCCAGCTCGAGAGGCTCATGCAGGTGTGTGTGTGTGTGTGT